CTGGGTGCTCTTCGCCCTTGCCTGAAGCTTCAACAGGGGGGTCAACCCTTTCGTTAGCACCGACCTCTTTGGTGTCGCCTAGCAGCTCGCTGTCACTCGCCACGTCGGAGTCCGGATCCTCGACAGCTTCAATAAGTGCACTAGTTATCAAGTAGTATAATAATATCGTTCCCATGGGGATTTAACAAAATAAGTATTAGAACCACCGTCTTCCCTAATTATCTRGACAATCGAAATTCAGATTTGAGCAAGATCTACTGAAAATAAAAACTAGAGAGAGATAATAGAAACAAAGGTGATCACTAATCGAATATGCAATGGATGGAATTGCTAGAGCTTTTGGTCCACCTAACCAATGCTATTGGATTCGATTAACCAAGATTATTTGTCATTCCCATAAGCTGAGGTCTTTCCAATTTTATTTAATATTCTCTCTCGAGATATATTAAAACTACGTCCATCAGGTAACCCTTCGATCTCTCGAGTAGAGCTCTCAAGATGGAAATGCATTAAGTCCAAGAAAAACCATTAAATTCAGATGAATTGTGTATATATATATCTCTATATACCATTCAATTCACACTATGAATTATTCAGTCGATTTTGTGAATTCCTTTCTCAATTCATTCACATAACTCAAATCAATTAAGAGGTGGCCAAGCTCTTAATTGCATTAAGCACAATAATTCATAGACTATATGGAAATCACAATCTTGGATAAATCATAAAGATAAAAATAKATTCATTAACATGGTTAGGCTTTCCAGARCCCTAGMAAGAAACAAATCAGTTCATGATAAGAGAATTAAAGCAAACAAAGGGAAAGAAAGAACTCTTGAATTCGCTCATGGTGCTGAGATCTCCTCTTCTTGCTGCCACCTTCTTCTTGAGATTTCTTGAATTCTTGATCTCCTTTCCTCTCTTTCTTGACTTCTTTTCTCCTCTCTTGACTGATAGTTTAATGCAATTCGTGATCCCCTCCAGAGATTGAGTGATGCCTAAAACTGGTCCACCCCCCCCCCCCTTTATATAGCTTAAAGGGGAGGGGGTGGTCTCCTACTTCCTCTTGAAGTTTATCTTGCAAAAATAGAAAGTCCTAGTCTAATCCTACTCTTATCTCTTTATCTAGTGAACTCAATCCCTTTATCCTTCTAAGATTACATCAATAATTTAGATTTGGAAGGACTCTTCTCAGTTTCTTGTTCTTGGATTCATATTAGACCTCCTCTGCGAATTGGGCTGCTACCAGGCTTTTCTGCAAGTTGGGTTTCAGCTGCGGATTGGGCCTTCCTACGAATTTTCTGCGACTTCGGGCCCGGATTTGACTTCGATTCAGGCCGAATCAGCGAAAGCCCAAAACACGAAAGTTGTGACTTTTTCTCTTATCTTTCCTGTGGGTCTTGAATCAGCCCAATCGGAGTTCGGATACGCGAGTTAGGCCCAGATTACTGAACGGTGCCGAAATTGTAAAAAATCATCCGATTTGCCTTTCTTTGCTCCTAATGCCTTCTTTCATGCCCTGAACCGAAATGCAAGGAATATGAGTCCAATTAAGTGCTAATTAATTATGAAAGACAGGATATTTGGGGATAAAAATGTGATAAATTCTACTCTCATCACAGCTCGCTGTCACTCGCCACGTCGGAGTCCGGGTCCTCGACATCTTCAACAGCCATGTAGTCATTGACTCATGTAGTCATTGACTCTTGAAGTGGTGATGGAGCTTAGATCGAGCTGCGGAAACTCACGTCGGGTCAGCCACCTGCTAAGCTTGAAGCCCTTACGGTAGCCTTCCGTCCCCGCCTCGATCAGCTCGTCATGGAACTCCCCCAAAGTCTTATACTCCTCGACGACCTTCGTCTTTGCCTCCTCCACTGCCTGGAGGTGTATGTCAGTCCGCTCCTTTACAAGGGCCTCGAGATTTTCAACCTCCCTCTTGAGCGCGGTCTCTTGTTCCGCGAGCTCCCTCTTCAAGGCCGCTTCACGCTCTTCGAGCTCTTTTTTCTTCGACATCAGCATTGTAATCAACTCTTTATGAGCCCACGCATCTTTCCTTAGCTGGTTGATCTCGCTCCGGCCCAGATTTAGTTCGGTGTGAGCATCGCAGGAAGATGACTCAGCTGCAAGAGCTCGCTTCAGGTGCAACTCGGACTGGTACGCCAGAGCGTGCACAACGGAGTTCACCTGCCAAGAGAAGAATAGCAGTTAGTACATGAAAAGCTCTCAAGTACAGAATTGAAGAAGTAAAAACAACTTACCACCATATTGTGTGTGGCCGCTCGAGCTCCGAGCTGAGCAACCGACAGCTCGGCCCAGTTGGTGACCTCCTCAGCGTATACCACGCTCTTGCTCTTGAGAAGGATATATTTTGGAATCAGGATTCTTCGAACTGCCCCCTCACTGCCCGAAGAAGTGGCAGCCGCAAGGGCGGGCTCCGAAGATACTGCCTCCTCGGGCGCACAGGGTAGGGAGACCCTTCCTGGCTCCTCTTCGACTAGGTCGATTACTGGAGGTTCTGCAATGGAAGGCTGCTCAGGCTCAGGGACGGCAGCTTGCGGAGACTCTACGCAAGGTCTTTTGATAGCTCGCTTCTTCCCCTTCATCCTTCCAAGAAGTTCGTGCGCAGGAAGTTTCATGGTTGCTGCAGCAAAAGAAAAATGTCAGAAACAACATCAAGATAAAACAAAAGCAACACAAAGTGACGACCTACTAGGACTCAGACTAGCCTGCACGAGCTTGTCCTCGGCCACATAGTCTTCAAACTTGAGACCGAGCTCCACCCAGGGCTGAAGCGCTTCCCTTTTCTTCAAATCCTGCCTGATGTCGGGATCTTGAATGACCGCCCTCCAATGGGTCGGGAAAGGCCAACCCTCGGTGTTACGAACTAAAAAGTAACTCCTTTTCCAGGTCGGGACCTTGTTTGGGAGTTTGTGTAAGAGTTTGTAGCCCGGACGTGGAGACAAATAGTAAGTCCACCTGTGCTCGGGTAAAACACAAGAGGAGTTCCTTTTTATTGAAAGTATAGAAGCAAAAACATCGAGATCAAGGGGCAGGTTGTAGTTGTGGAAGAGTGAGATGGTGCCTACCATGTTGCGGGTGGAGTTCGGGTGTAACTGATCTATGGTAATATTGAAAAGTTTAATGACCTCGACGATTAGGGGGTGAAGTGGAAGACGAAGACCAGCGGCGAACTACTCTTCGAAGATTGCTATCTCGTCATGACCATGCTCCTAGGGAAAGTTACCTACTGGAAGGCTATAAATAAGATCGCTCGGAAGCCTATACTGAGTTACCAGGGTCTGGAGCCTGGCCGCTATCATCGTCGATGGGCCGAAGTTATCTAGCTGCCGACCTCCATACGAGGTGGACGCCAGACCAGCGACCCCTCACATCTCCCGAGGTGATTCTACCTCAGAAGGACCGCGAACTGCCTCTTGTCCCGAAGTGGCTTCTTCAGTAGAGCGATCTATGACTCAAGCTGAGGTACCCACCTCGGCCCCAGCGAAGTGACCACTCTCCCTCTCATCTAGGAGACTATCGAAACTAGACATAGCGAAGAAAAGACAATAAGAAAAGAAGAGCTAGGGAAGACTCACCAAGGAGAAAAGACCGAACCAAAAAGAAACACCAAACTGGAAGACCCAAAATAAGGAGCTTGAACACGACCTCAGATCGAAGGATAATGAACTTATGGCAAAGAAAATGAGTCTCGGGTCCCCCTATTTATAGCCGCTATACCTGAGAATCAATGGTCGAGATCAAAGCGATCAGACGACTCCTAAGAAAACCGGTTGCGCGACCCCCGAGGTTGAAATCGGTTTAGCGCATTTTTTTACGTCCGCGGAGTTTGTAGATCGCGTGACGTCCGCACGTAAACCGGACACGACCTGGGTTATTCTTAGTTGAGCCGAGCAGCCGAACTAGTCCGACCAACGATTCACTCGACAAAACGGCCTAGACCTTGAACCAAATCCACTTGTCACGTCATGAACTCCCCGCACCAAGTCAGGACCCTTGGCTCGGGGAGTGGGGGGCAATTGATGAAGGGTGATTTGGCCCGACCTCATAACAGGGGGACACGTGGACGCGACCTGACTAATAGATGACAGCTCAGCATGACCAGTCCGTAACAGAACGACCTCGGGTACCCAACTACCCCGAGCTAAAGTTACCTCGAGACAAGGTTACCTCAAAATGAGATCGCTTCGGCACCAAATCGCAACAAGCACACCTCGATGCCAAGTCACCTCGGTACTCAATCCAGTTCGAGACTTAAATACGTTAGCTCGGGGATACCGATCTGCCACTACGTGGTGATATCAAAAATCCCTATGACGGTTCCCGAACTCCACGGGATCACGCCGCATAATAACTAGCATTATCTCTCCGTCCGATTCGAGCGAAAGTGATGAACCTTATCAGTTGGCAGCGTTATCCCCCAATTAACACGGAAACGGATCTCATCGTGATGAGGATCCCGGAACCACTCCGCGAAACCCACAAGGATTTTATTATATAAAGGCTCCACCCCCTGGGGGTGCAAGGTACGCGTAATTTTTCTGCTCTCTAGCTCTCTGCATTCAAAAGCGTTTATCTCGCAACCAAGTACTGACTTAAACATCGAAGCAACCTCATCGAATAAATAACCCCGGGTTCTCTGATTCACCTTTTGCAGATCGACCTAGTTCGCCATCTATTGAAAGCCAGATCACCTCCAATAGGGAAGAGTCAGATTGCGCAACATCATTTCTAAACAATAGGGCTTATGAAAAGAACAGTCGCTTTCCGCAATCTGGAGTCTGGAATATGCAGATTACAAATTTCAATGGACAAGATAATCCTCACTAGAGTATTAATATTACAACCATATCCCTCGTATATAACGAACGAATCTAGTGGTCGTGAACCCGGTTCTCTTGGTAGCTTTGCATTATTCGCTGGTTCGGTTCGGGTGCCTCCACACTAAAGGCGCAAATTAGTAGAAGAGTTCTGCTAAAGCCTAAAAGGAGAAGCCAACGTTTCCAACTCACCCGTTCTCGACAACACGGTGTTTCTGTTTACTGCGGAAACTTCAACTCGTTCGATCTCCAAATCTAAGTATTCGATTCGTCAAAAAAAATTAATTCCGCGTTGGGCGTGATTCGTCGATAACTATCGTTCTCGTTCGATTCGGGAACATGTTTTCCAATAAGATCGACTTGAGAAATCTTATCGGGATATCATCTCTTTCAAGGATCACGGACTTCTGACTTTCTTCGGAGATTTGTTCGGAGTAAGTTATTCTGAAATTGTGGATTATTTCTTCTGCTCGAAGGTCGGAGAAAAGCTCCGATCTGAGAAATGATTACTCGTGCTAAGCTCGTCGAGCAACTCAGAGATTATAACCTTCGGTCACAGCAAAAGCGTGCGGCCCTTGTAATATTCTCTCCAAAACATCAAATCACAACCAGGTACTTTTCTCCTATTTTCTCGAATAAATGTGCACTTTATCGATTTTTTTTTATTAAGACCATCATGCTAGATTTCGTGCTCGAAATTTGATTTTACCAATTTGTTCTCCTGATCAGAAGTTTGTCTAGATGCTTTATGGATCATTATAGATTAACGGGCACCGGTAAAATGTGGAGGGTATGAAGTTAAGTTTCTATTGTGACATATATAGATATTTAATTAATTATAGCACAGGCGATGGTAAGTTGTAGTTTAGAATGAATTAATGATAGCTACTGGATTCAAATTCAATAATCCAGTTTCTGCCTTTGAGGAATCTGGCGGTAATCATAAGAATTTGAATGGCTTGCGCCAGTAGATCGGCTGATAAAATGCACCTCTATCGCAAAATTGTGACTTGGATCCCGACTTATCCATGAAGGGAAACACGAAAAGCTCGTGGTGGTTAACCTTTTCTTCTAATGCTTTTGACAATAAGGACAAATAAGAATCCCACTTAATAACCTATAAAATTAACTTAAAAATACTAATTAATGGATTTTCCTTATGTACTCCAGGAGAATAATTTAACATTGCTGAAGTCTCTTCATCTTCTTCAGTGTTTTTTTCCTTCTAGTTATCGTCTTCAGTGTTTCTGTAGCCGTAAAACATTTAAATCTGCAGTCTTTTAGAAAAGATTGTAACTGTTTGATGCTTACTCCATGAATCATATCATAATGCACAATAAACTAACCCATGAACAAGTATGCATTAATCATGTAAAGAATACCGAGAGTTTTCTGACTTAGGTGGGATCTATCTTCTAAAAGAAAAGTGTGTCGTCCAAATAATGAAGGTTTTCCTTTATCTCTATGGAGTTGAATTACATCTTAGTCTCAAGCCCACAAATATAGAGTGGATAATGGATCCAAAAATTTCAGCATGTAATTCATGAATAGGAGCAGAGTATGGGTTTTCTGAAGGGATAAAGGCTAAAGAGTTTCTAAAGAATAATTTATAGGTGGTTATGGTAAGGTTTATGAAGAGAATAAAAGGATTAGAATGGGAGAAAGGGGGACATTCTTTTATAATAGCACACTGTAGAACCTCAAATGGAATATACAAACAAAATGTATAATTTCAAGAAACCTAGAGTGCTACCTTTCACATTGTGACAATAGAAAAAAGAAGAAACAAGGAAGAGAGAAGATATGTATTGATAAAAAAAGAGAGAGAGAAGATATGTGAAGAACTAGAGATTTGCAAGTTGTATTATGAAGGACAACTACTAATAATTAAGAGATCATAAAACAATAATATGCATAGAAGTAACAGAAAAAATAGAGAGGAAAGAGACAGACATGTATCAATTTGGTTTCTATAAGAAGTAATTTCACTCCAATTTTCAATTCTAAATTCTACTATGGGCCTTTTATAGATGTAGACAATAAGGTTGGGCAGGCACTGACAAGAAATTTGCTTATATTCTTAAACAACCAAGTACTTAATTATCTAATTTGACTATAATAGTCACCAACTAATTTTTTGCCGGTATAATCGTCATTACTTTCCCGGATTACATTGAATTCTCATAAGATATTGGTCTCTTTAGATACTTATGTTTTTAAATAACTAAGTACTTCTTACCAAATTTTGACTATGATGATCACTAACTGATGTCTTACCAATATAATGTTTCATTACTTTCCCAACTTACATTGAATTGCCAAGATATTGCTCTTTAGATAGGCACTTGAAAAATCTTTTCAGAGATGCCAGAATAAACTGAAACATGCAATTTTTTTATCTATCTTAATGGGCGTAAATACTTAAATAGTATTGATATCTCAACTTCACTTTATTTAAAATCTAAAAATTCGCTAATGGTACTTTTTAACCTATTTTTACTGTCTAGACTAATCAAAGACACTCCTAGGGCAATTTTAGTTTAGACAACTACACCAAAAAATCATTAACATTCATAAGATTCCAAAAAATTATGAAACTAGCATTGCAAATATTCTCCATGGTTTTCTTCTTCTTCAATGTCTACATCACATACAAATACCTAGAAGTATACTGTAAGGTCCATTTCCACTATCCACTAAACATATACAAAGTTTGGTTGAGGAAGACCAGTTTGTTGCTGATTAAGAAAGATCACTTTGTTGCATAATGTCAAGCTGGGGAGGAAGTGGGACTTAGACATGCAAAATATAAAAGAGAGCAGTAGTTTTATAATAGAATTTCATGTAGGATCTTCACCTTGTGGTTAGTTTACTCTCCATGCATGCACACACACAAAGGAAAAAAGGAAAACCTTCTAGCTTGTTTTAAATGAAGGTAAAGTTATTATCTTTAAAATGGAACATAGGGCCTGTTTGGGAGGGCTCAAGCTTTGTTTGAGTTGCTTCTGCTGAGCTTTGAAGAAGCTACTAAAAGAAGCTTCAACAGTAAGCCATTTTTATGGTTGAAGAATGGCAAGTTTGGGCTCTCCTGATTTTTCACCAAACATTGATTATAGGCTTTCTTGGTAAGGCCTCTTTTTTGTGGTTAAACAGCATTTTACTGGTGGCAATAGTAGGCAAATTTGACTTTTACAAAATCCTCCCTGATTGTGGTTCATTTGTGCAATCCTATCCAACTGAATCATTGCTTTCCCATGTTTTAGAAGTAGAACTAGGGGCTTCATCAACCCATTGTGGGAAGATATTTATGGACACTTCTGCTCATTTTAATTTTTCAGTCCTATTAAACCTCTACAGCTTGAGAGATCTAGATCCTTTGAGTTCCAGAACATTGTTGATTAATTTCAATATCTGAATAAGCCATCACTGGTTGTACTTTTAGCTTCCATTAAATTCTATTACATTTCAGCTAGTTTTTGAAGAGATATTCCCCCTGTTTTGTTTATTCTCACATCAAATTTGGATATTTCTTTGAGTTATGATGTTCTTCTAAAAGATTTTTGTATAAGCTTTATAAGTTGGCAGTAACTCTGACCTCTGAGTCATCCATGGACCTAGGCTTTCTGAGGTGTGGCCTTTACTTAGGTTGTTGTTGATTCTGAATTAATTCTGTGGAATTCAAGTGATTAGTCCCTTCCAGAAAATTCCGAATCTGCCAATAATGCAGGGTTGAAGGCTTGAAATCTACTTGTTTCCATATCCATCTCCGCAAAAGAGCCCAAAGAGTAGAATCTGTAAACTTGCTAAATTTTGACTCCTATATTCATCTCTCAATTCCAATTCCACCCTAGTCTGGAGAAATACAGGGTACAGTGAAAATTATCTAAGTGTAATAAGTGATTGAAGCAAGCACCACTTATTATTTGTTGTTCATGGAACTGCTTTCTTTACTCTATTAACCTTTTAAAACTTTTGCAATGACATGAATACTGCTCCTACACATGGTCATTGAGGATAAACCAAAAAAATTACTCCAATAAACCAAAATACAAAAAAAAAAAATCTATTTAGACTTCAAAGATATCAGACTTCAGATTTCCAAATGCTACCTTAGTAAATCTTGAAAAATTTTTCATTATCTATATTGTTTTGAGAATCTAATCAAATATTTGATTGTAGAGAACCTTCTTCCTATCACCTGTGGTCCATTTTGAGTAAGAAATCAATTTCATGAGCCTGCTGGAATGGGCCTGATTTTGAGGGTTTTGGGCTAAACTCAACAACTTATTGGGGGTTTGGGCTTGCTGGTGCAATTTGCACACCTGTGATATTTGGGCTGATCAGCTGATGTCATATGGATCTGTAAAAGTCCAATAGATGGCCCATCATGAGCCACTTGATGACCCTTAGAGATTGAAGAAAAGATTGTGTTCACGCTTCTCTTCTCATGAGTATGTTGACTTTCTATACTTTAACATGAACTCTATACTTTTCTTATGAAAATTATGAATAATTATTAAGGAAATATGGATATGGTACCTAGGGAACTACCCTAGGATCTATGTTTTCTATATAAAAAAAATCCATTGCCTAGGCGACAAGGCACCCCCTTGACACCCAACCTCACCTTGGTGCCTTGAAAACTATGCAACTGCTCTGACTCCATTCTCTTTCCTCCCCTACCAAAAAACAGTGCAACACCTGCACCGTGACTATAATGATGACCATGCTTGTTGCATCAAGGGCATATTAACATCAATTGAAGCAGCTTGAGTGTAAGCATCCTGGAAATTTAATAGTGAAACCCTTGAATTTGAAGAAGCTGAAACCAATTAATCATGCCCTCTAAGACTGGGTTTGGGGAGTGGATGCCAGATGTGTTTCTTTTGTGGTGGAAGGAAAAGAGTCTCAAATGGTAATTGAACTATAGGTAAGCTAAAAACCTAGATGCAAATTGGGTAGATCTCATCATGCGATGATTGGTGAAGAAGTTTGCAGCTTTTGGGCTACCTCACAATTTCAGATTGTACAGCAGCATATTTTCCCCATTTGTTCGATCTCATCTTAGAATGTCTTTATTCTTTGTTCTTGTGTCTGTTTACGGTTCTTGCTTCTCTCAGGATCAATTTATCTTATAAACATATTCAGTGGCAGATGTAATTAATTCTAAAATGCCACCTACACATTTGAAACTTATTTGGATCATCCTTCAACTCATGAAGTTCCCCATTCTTATACTCCCTTAGTTGCCCTGTCAATATCTTCTTCTCACTTTATGCAACTGGACATGGCACTTTTTTTTGCACTCCATGTTTTCAATCCTTTTTGATTGTTTGTGCATATATTATCAGTCTTATTTTTCCTGAAGTTCAAGAAAAGCTATAACTTTTCTCCATTGATGTAAGAATTTGTGTTGATTTCATGCAGGACCGATGAAATTGTGGCTTACTTCTTTGCTGTACTGTTCAGTCTTCTTGTAGTGTCGTCCTATGTGACACTTTACTTCAGACACTTCCATCTTGCAGTTATTGTTATATTCCTTGGTATCCTTCTTCCCATATCCCTGAGAATTTCTAGACATAGAAGTTCGCTTAGAAGGAAAAAGGAGAGAAGAATGTTGCTACCTCTTTCTATGTGATGATTTCCGCTAGTAACCCCATTATGGAGATCCCCATGTTTTCCAGCCTAACAACTTCTGTGAACATAAGATTACTGTTTCCTTTTTTTTTACTTGTTGATTGTACCTTAGCACCCAGGAGGTTGGAGGAATGGTCTTAGTCAGCCATGACAGTAATGGGCCTTCCTTTTGGAGTGGTGGTCTGATCTTATTGTTCAGTCTTCACTGTGTAGACACGAAAGCTGCGAGAATCTGCCAGGGGACTCCTCATTGAAACACCACACACTGGGGCTTAGCTAAAATGTCTACCAACTTAAATGTTTTTTTCTGTTGGATTGTAAATTTCACCCAGGCTTGGTAAATGGATACTACACTCAAATGTCTCTTATAAAATGAGTTACTAGGTGCACTTCCCCCCCTAATTAGATGAAATCAACTGCACAGTTTGAACAGAAGATGGAGCAAAAAGATGAGTTATGGCATTATTCCACGAGTTCGGCCCACAACATGAAACCTTCCTTTTAAAATCAGTGCAAACTATGAACACGTGGATTTGAATCTTTATGGTTTCAAAATGTTCCCCCACGCTATGTCAGCCTCATAAATTCACTTGCTGCTGAGGGATTGGGGCTAGGCCATGATACTTGCATAAAAATTTTAAGTTTTGCTCTTTAATGTCAGGTGTATATAGCCTACACTAATAGGGTTTTCTGTCATGTGGAGTACTGGAATACTGTTTCCAAGCATGATCTGCAAAGCTGGTACTTGTGCATTTAAGGCATGTTCCTGTTTGTTTCTGTCAAATATCCCCACAAGGCTGGTTTAGGCAGGGTAAATGCAAATGCTCGTGTTTTATATTCGTGATGGTGTTTGTGGGCATTCCTGAATCCACATATAATATAAATGGCAACTTTTTATTTGCCACTGCCAGGCAACAAAAAGAAATGGTTAAGAGTAGGCCAAGGAATTTGAACTACTCAAAAGTCGTGTTATTGCTATACGATAGCATGATTTGAATGTTGATTTTTATAAACCTCCCGAAGTTGAAGATTAAGAAATGTAAATCCCTTTATCAGGTTCCTTCTGCTATCAACCCCTTGGGGCGTGGCAGTAGGCGTATACGACTAGCATGTACCATTGAGTTTGTATAGATATCTTGTAGGGCAAATTTCTTAAACTGTCCTTACTGTTTAGCTAATTGACAAATTATACCTTTATTGTTTAACCATTATCTTAAACTATTCTTTTTGTTTTTGGCAATTGACTAATTCTATCCTTATCCTCCCTTCTTCACCATCTTTCCTTTCAGTAGGGGCAAACCGAATGACGGGTTGGTGGGCTCATGCATGCCATTGCTGCCGCTGCTCACTATCATGCTAAGTTTGTTGGCATGTGGCCTGAACGATGGAAAGAAGGAGACAGAGAGGAGGGACAACCTGGGGAAGAGGGAAGAAGAAAAGGGGGAGAGAATGGGAACTAGAGAGAGTATGGGAGAAGGGAGAGGCTTCTTATTGCCGGTGGTTGGAGAGGGATAGAACGAACAGAGGTGCTTCGATCATCATTGAATCCGGATGTACTCCATGGATGACCAACATAGAACAAAGGTGCTTTGATCCACTTCGATAGATGGGACTCCCAACATTGACAAGCTGAGAGATTTCGAGAATTTCTCCAAAATTGGAGGTCTCTAAGCATGTGCCACTTCATGTTGCCTCCTTGAACCCTAACCCTTCGAACTGTCTTGTTACTCGGTTGCTTCATCTTCGCCAGTTGTTGCCCGAGCTCATGCTTTAGCTTCTTCCTCAAGCCTTCTTTTTGCCTCCTTTGTCTCATCTCTTGTGCATGGAATCATGAGAAATACCCATTGTTGCAGAAAAATGGCAGTTGTTGCTTTTTGGATCCCTTTCCTTCCCCGATCTTTGAAATTTATGTTATAGAAGTAAGTTGGGCAAGGGTGGTTAAAAGCCTAAACTAAGAGAAAATAGGCATGATAGTTTCTGATGATGTGCATTTTGGCAGCTCCCAGTTGGCTAGTGATTCAGATGCTTGGTTGAATAATCCCTACCTGGAAGGTGGCTTGGACACCTAGCTGAATGGTTCCTATCTGGAAGGTAGTTTAGACGTCTAACTGAATGGTGACGAGCTGGAGAGGTGGCTCTGATGCCTAGCTGAATGGTGACGAGCTAGAGATGTGTATTTGATGCGTAACTGAGTGGTGACGAGCTGGAGAGGTGGCTTTGATGCCTAATTGAGAGGTAACGAGCTGGAAAGGTAGCTAGGATGCCTAGCTAAATGGTGACAAATTGGAGACGTGACTCTGATGCCTATCTGAATGGTGACGAGATGGAGAGGTGGCTTTGATGCCTAACTGAGTGATGACAAGCTGGAGAGGTGGCTCTGATGCCTAGCTAAATGGTGACAAGCTGGAGAAGTGGCTTTGATTCCTAACTGATAGGTGACGAGCTGGAGAGGTGGCTCTGATGCCTAGCTGAATGGTGACGAGCTGGAGAAGTGGCTTTGATGCCTAATTGAGTGGTGATGAGCTGGAGAGGTGGCTCTGATGCCTAGTTGAATGGTGACGAGCTGGAGAGGTGGCTCTGATGCCTAGTTGAATGGTGACGAGCTGGAGAGGTGGCTCTGATGCCTAACTGAATGGTGACGAGCTGGAGAGGTGGCTCTGATGCCTAGCTGAATGGTGACGAGCTGAAAAGTGGCTCTGATGCGACCTACAAGGAAACAATGTCAGAGTGCCCGGGTTGCTTTACCCGAGGTGGGCACTCCGATGCTTAAGTTAGCGAATCAGAGATTTTAAGATAGCAAAATGTGAGAGAGTTAGAGAGCTGCGAGAACTAAAAATTACGCATCTACCTGGGTCTCAGGGGCTGATGCCCTTATATAGTGGGGTTGCCGTGGGTCTTGCAAAACGCTCCTGGAATCGACCCACGACGTAGAGGTCCGTTCCGCTTTGGAAGGAGGATAGTGTGCCAGTTAATAAGGCTTATTGCTTCCCTTCGATTCGAGCGGGATGAGGATAAGGCCTACGGTTACGCGGCGTGATCCCGAAAGGTTTGGAGACAACTGGAAAGCTTCTAGAAAGGTAGGTCGCCAAGTTGGCGACAGGCAGATTGCTAGGTCGCCAGGTCGGCGGCAAAGGTAGGTCGCTAGGTCGACGATAGAAGTAGATCGCCAGGTCGACGGCAAAGGCATGTCTCTAGGTCGGCGGCAGAAGTAGGTCACCAGGTCGATAGTAGAGGTAGGTTGCCAGGTTGGCAGCAGAAGTAGGTCACCAGGTCGGCGGCAGAGGCAGGTCGCCAACTTGGACCCCATTTTGGCTAAGGCAAGTTGTCGCCTAGGTGATGCTGGGATGTAGTCCAACTGTTCTGATATGCCATGCGTCATGATGTTAGTGGAGGGCCAAATCTGCCCTCATCAATTGCCCTCATTAAACAGAGGGCTCGCGACCTATGGGGTGGCCTCACATTCTGTTGGCCGCCAACTCTCGCAGAGAGCACGTAGAACTCGACATATGGGGGTGGCCTCACAGTTAGGGAGATTTTGTCTGGGCAAGACTGCGAGAACTCATTTGGGCTAATCATTTTGTTTTTGCCCCCTTAGGGGGTTCTTTCGATCAAGCGCTGTTGTTGTTGCTTGGAGATGTTATTACTTGAGGCTCAAAGAATTGGGTGAGAACATAGCCTTTTGTAGTGCTTCCCACAAACGGCGCCAATTGATGAATGCGCATTTTGGCAGCTCCTAACTGGCTAGTGACTTAGATGCTTGGCTGAATAATCCCTACCTGGAAGGTGGCTTGGATGCCTAGCTGAATGGTTCCTACCTAGAAGGTGGCTTGGACGCCTAACCGAATGGTGACGAGCTGGAGAGGTGGCTCTGATGCCTAGCTGAATGGTGACGAGTTGGAAAAGTGGTTTTGATACCTAACTAAGTAATGACGAGCTGGAGAGGTGGCTTTGAAGCTTAATTGAGTGGTAACGAGCTAGAAAGGTGGCTAGGATGCCTAGTTAAATGGTGACAAGCTGGAAAGGTGGCTCTGATGCCTAGCTGAATGGTGACGAGCTGGAGAGGTGGCTTTGATGCCTAACTAAGTGGTGATGAGCTAGAGAGGTGGCTCTGATGCCTAGCTGAATGGTGATGAGTTGGAGAAGTGGCTTTGATGTCTAACTGAATGGTGACGAGCTGGAGAGGTGGCTCTGATGCCTAACTGAGTGGTGACGAGCTGGAGAGGTGACTTTGATGCCTAGCTGAATGGTGACGAGTTGGAGAAGTGATTTTGATGCCTAACTGAGTAGTGACGAGCTAGAGAGGTGGTTCTGATGCTTAGTTGAATGGTGACGAGCTGGAGAGGTGGCTCTGATGCCTAGCTGAATGGTGACTAGTTGGAGAGGTGTCTCTGATGCCTAGTTGAATGGTGACNGATGCCTAGCTGAATGGTGACTAGTTGGAGAGGTGTCTCTGATGCCTAGTTGAATGGTGACGAGCTGGAGAGGTGGCTCTGATGCCTAGCTGAATAGTGACGAGTTGGAGAGGTGGCTCTGATGCGACTTACAAGGAAAAAGTGTCAGAGTACCCGGGTTGCTTTACCCGAGGGTGGGCACTCCGATGCTTAAGTTAGCGAATCGGAGATTTTAAGATAGCAAAATGTGAGAGAGCTGGAGAGCTGTGATAACTAACATTTGCGCATCTACCTACGTCTCAAGGTCTAATGCCCTTATATAGTTGGGCTGCCGTGGGTCTCGAAACGCTCCCGGAATCCTTGACCCACGACGTAGAGATCTGTTTCGCTTTGGAAGGAGGATAGCGTGCCAGTTAATAAGGCTTACCGTTTCCCTCTGATTCAAGTGGGATGAGGATAAGGCCTACGGTTACGTGGCGTGATCCCAAAATGTTCGGAGACAATTGGCAAGCTTGTAGAAAGGTAGGTCGCCAGGTTGGTGACAGAGGCAGGTCGCCAGGTCGGTGGCAAAAGTAGGTCGCCAAGTCGGCAGTAGAGGCAGGTCGCCAGGTTGGCAGTAGAAGTAGATCACCAAGTCGGTGGCAGAGGCAGGTCGCCAGCTGGGACCCCATTTTGGCTAAGGAAAGTTGTTGCATAGGTGATGCTGGGATGTAGTCCAGTTGTTCTAATATTTCAAGTGTCATGATGTCAGTGGAGGGCCAAATCTGCCCTCATCAGTTTCTTTTTTGAAACAAAAGCAAGTTAGCAACAAGCCACACTTAGCAACTCGGTGAGTGGGTGGTGTGTAGTTAGTTGGCTTGGCTGAACTCAATCAAAACAAATCTCCTAGGACTAGGACAACTGATCCCCTTTTCGTGTGTCTAACTCCGACTAGAACTAGAAGGTTTAGCAGATTGTCAGCTTCCTTATTCCTTAACTCGTTGTGTATCGTGACACT